ACAAAGTCCCGCTCGAGCGTCAATTATTCCGCTCGAGCGGACTTCAAAACCGTGCAAAGTAATGGGAGCACGAATTACACGCTTGAGCGCCAGTCACCCCGCTCGAGCGTGAGTTCAAAATCTGGAATTGCCAGATTTGAACCTCAAGCTCAACTCCAAGTTTTAAAACATAAATTTTGATCCTCTTGGGCTAATTTTCTAGAAAACATCCCAAAACTCATAGTTTAACATGATTCCGAAGCTCAATTGTAAAATCAAAGCCCAAGGGTGTTTCAAACAACTCAATTTCAAACCAATTTTCAAGAATATAATTCAAACATATCATGTATGAATTTAAACCATTTCAAAGCTTCAATTTCATGCTCTAATGAGCCAATTCTTCCTAGGACAAGATGAAATCATGGACTTAAAGACAATATGATCATGCATATAACATTTTACCATGAAATCAACTCGCAACTCAACAATTCAAACATGCATGCATGGAATGAGCTCCAATTCAACATTATTAGACTAAGACATGACTTGGCTCCTCAATTAGACATGAACCATGCAAGAATCAACTTAAACACAACAATGAGAGGTTGAATTTCCTTACCTAAGTCTTCAATCACAAGACTAGAAGCTTAATTAGACAATTGTCCTTGAATCCTTCAAGTTCTCTAAGCCAACTCTCAAGAACACTCACTTCTCTCCCTCTCTCCCTCTTGGTCGGCAAGTCTATGAAAGAATGGGCTGATGAAGTGTTGTAATGTTAGCATTAGAGATCAACTAAGAGGCTCATGAAAGTCCACTAGGTAGCAAAATGGCAATTAAGTCCAACTCTTGTAATTTAACTCATTTTAATCCAATTTAATCATACCAAATCACATTTTAACTGAATATGCCATAAAATCACATTAATTCTAAGGATCACAAATCATCAATCAATTTTAGATTCGGCCGCCAATAAGGCCTTCAATTCGCAATTTAAACACAAAGGCATGAATAGATAATCAAACAGTCAACAGATAGACATACAATTAAACAGATATACTTAATCAATTCAGTTCCAGATTTCAGTCAGTCAGTTCAATATTTCAATCAGTTCGATTACCAATCATAATCAGCCTCAGTTTAGCAGTAATCGGTAGTTAATCGGTAAACAGTGACGAGGGTTGTTACAGTCTCCCCTCCTTAAAAAGAGTTTAGTCCTCTAAAGTCGAGTTACCTTCGTTTTGAAAGAAAACAGGATTCAGTGGAAACAGTTTCGGATATCTTTTAGCCATGTCATCTTCCCTCTCCCAAGTGGCATATACGCCACCATGGTTTTGCCAGTCAACTTTCACTAACGGGATCTCTTTGTTTCTCAACTTCTTGATCCGTCTGTTTACAATCTGAATAGGTCATTCCTTGTAAGTGTAGTTATCACTCAGCACTACACGAGTAGGCTCTATCACATGGAAAGGATCCCGGAGGTAGTCTCTCAACATAGAAATGTGGAAGACGTTGTGCATATGCTCCATTTCAGGAGGAAACGCAACTTGATACGCCACCGGATTGATTTTTTCAATTATCTCATATGGTCCGCCGTATCTCGGCGCTAACTTGCCCTTGACTCCAAAACGAGTCTGGCCTTTCATCGGTGTCACTTTCACAAACACGTGATCACCCACTTCATATTCTCTACCCCGTCTTCTGACACCAGCATAACTTTTCTGTCTGCTCTGTGTGGTTTTCAGTCTCTATTGTATCAGTTTCACTTTCTCAGTCGCTTCGTATACAATCTCGGGCCCAAGCAAAGGCCCATCTCCAACTTCTGCCCAACAAAAACGCCATACCAATACTTGAATGATAACTGTTGTTGTAGGCGAATTCAGCCAATGGCAAATGGCTTTCCCAGTTTCCCTAAAAATCAAGGACACACATTCTTAGTAAATCCTCCAGAGTCTGGATGGTCCTTTCTGACTGGGCATCGGTCTGAGGATGATAAGCACTACTCAGTCTCAATTCAGTACCCAATGCAGTCTGTAAGCTTTGCCAAAATCTTGATTTAAACATCGAATCCCTGTCAGAAACAATGGACACAGGCACTCCATGCAGTCTAACAATTTCATCAATATAGAGTATAGCCAATTTGTCCACATTATAAATCGTCTTAACAGGTAAAAAGTGAGCAGATTTAATCAGTCTATCAACAATAACCCAAATTGAGTCCATACCTTTACTGGAGCGAGGCAATCCCACAATAAAATCCATAGTGATATGGTCCCATTTCCACTCCGGTATGGGTAAGGGCTGCAATAAGCCTGCGGGTCGTTGATGTTCGACTTTAACTTGTTGGCAATGAAGACATTTCGATACAAAATCAGCAATTTCTTTCTTCATTCCCGACCACCAGAAATTCAGTTTCAGATCTTGATACATTTTCGTATTCCCTGGATGGATAGAAAATTTTGAATTGTGGCCCTCTTGCAGAACTCTTCTTTTCAATTCAGAATCATTTGGTACACACAGTCTTTCTTAAAATTTCAGTACATTATTTTCAAATTTGAAACCTGGTCTTGGTTTAGTTTCCCTTTCTTTGATGATCTTCTTCAAGAAGTCATCCAGTTGCTGTTTCTCTTTAATCTCTTCGATCAATGCTGGTTGAGCAAAAATAGCAGCTATTGTTCCACCTTGTTTTCGTAAAACAATTTCAATTTCAGATTTTTCAAGGTCACAAAGCAATTCCTTTTGCCCGGTAAGCAAACAGGCTAAATTTCCAATCGATTTCCGACTCAGTGCATCGGCAATGGTGTTGGCTTTTCCCGGATGGTACAAAATCTGTAGGTCATAGTCTTTAATCAATTCTAGCCATCTCCACTGTCTCATGTTCAGTTCTTTCTGTGTGAAGAAATATTTCAGACTCTTGTGGTCGGTATATACTTCACATGTCGCCCCATACAGATAGTGACGCCAGATTTTCAGTGCAAATACTACTGCAGCAAGTTCCAGATCATGGGCCGGGTAGTTTTTTTCGTGCGGTCTCAGTTGTCGTGAAGCATAGGCAATAACTCTCCCATTCTGCATTAAAACACATCTCAAACCCTTATGAGAAGCATCACTAAATATAGTAAAACCATCTGTACCTGAAGGTAGGGTAAGAATCGGTGCAGTTACAAGTCGAGTTTTCAATTCTTGGAATGCTGATTCCCTTTGGTCAGTCCAGTCAAATGATATCCCCTTCTGAGTTAACTGGGTCAACGGTAAGGCAATTTTGGAGAAATCTTTGACAAATCTTCTGTAATACCCAGCTAGTCCCAAAAAGCTTCGTACTTCAGTCACATTTGTTGGTCTAGGCTAGTTTACTACAGCTTCAATTTTCTGTGGAACAATAGAAATTCCATCCTTGCTAACAACATGCCCCAAAAACATAACATGATCAAGCCAAAATTCGCATTTAGACAGTTTAGCATAAAGTTTCTGTTCTCTTAGGGTCTATAGGGCAAGTCTCAGATGATGTTCATGTTCTTCTATACTTTTGGAGTAAATCAGTATGCACTACAAGAAAAGAGCCCAAATAACACGGAACTTTTTGCGACGGTATAGGTACCGTCGCAAAAAATGGTCTTTTGCAACGACATTTTCAGGCCGTCTCAAAAAATGGTTTTTTGCGACGGCATTTTCAAACTGTCTCAAAAAATGGTCTTTTGCGACGGTGGTGACCCCATCGCTAATGAATATATCACAAAAAAACATAAAACATTTGTGACGCCTGATGTACCGTCGCAAAAAACAAATTTTTGAGACGGGAATATTTACTGTCGCAAAAGTCTTGTTAAAACGACGTCGTTTTAACTGTTAGGATTCAACATTTGCGACGGTTTAAGTACGCTGTCGCAAAAAGTAATGAAAATTTTTCTATCCCGCTCATTTTAGCCTATTCGCGGTCATCTGTTTCCCCAAAATCCCCAAACCTTTTTGAACCAACCCAAAATCCCTAAAAACTTTAAAACCAAAATCCCCAAAACCATTTGGAACAAAATCCCCAAAGCCCTTGAGCCAAAATTCAACGACGGTGACGGACGACGGTGATCGACGACGGCTAGCAGCGAGGGAGCAGCAAGTGACGACGACGACGGCGAGTGACGACTGTATGCCCCCCCCTCTCTCTCTCTCTCTAATTACATCCAAAGACCTCACATTTTTTTGAATATATTTTTTTCTCCATTGTTGTTTGGGGGTGTCATTGGTTTGAAACTGTGCCTAGAGGTGACCAGGTCTTCTTTCTTTTCCTCTCTTGATTTTCTGTTTCCGTCTCTGTTTTCTGATGTTGATTGCAATGCATGTGTTCTGTGTCTGTATGTCACTCAAATGCTTTATTAATTTCCATGATTTTTTTGACATTTTGGTTTCCTTTTTTCACCTTCCAGATGTTGATGTTATTGTCGTTTTCTTATTTTTTTGTTTATGGATCTTGTGATGCATTCAATTATTTTTTTTTAAATTTTTTATTTCTTTTTTGTGTTGTTTGATTTTTGACATCTACACTAAGTATGGCGTTGGATTTATATAATAGTTAGATAGTTAGATAGATAGTTAGATATAATCAAATAATCAATGCAATTAAGAGGAAGTAGTAGAGAACATAATGCTTCAACTGTTTTTTGTGGTGATTGGTAGCAAGAGAGTGAAATTTATTCGAATTTTAATATTGAAAAACCTTCAATGACAATACCTGAATAAATCACGACTGATTCTTGGTTGGAATGCTAGAATTTCGCTATTCCAAGAAAGTATTTTTTGTGAAATAGGATTCTGTCAATACTACTGATTTTTTTTCTGGTGGTTTTGTATAGTTGGGTCTTAGGAAGTGTGGTTCTGGACTTATTTTCTTTTGTGGATTTTATTGATTCTTTACATGTCTAAATGTAGGTTGGAGTGGGGCTGGTTGTGGCTGTGTTTGTAGCATCATCTTGATGCTCTTTTTCTAATAAAATGGTTACTCTTTAATTATCAAAAAAAAAAAAAAACTTTTCTTCAAATCGCAATTGACACAGTTCAATTTTTATTTAATTAGTGATGAACCCTAAATTTGGTCAATGCTTATAAATTGTTTTATTGTTTCGTGCATGATTGCTAACTGATATTTTGTAAGGAAATGGCACCTGAAGGTTTGTTTCCTGGTGAAGGTCAAAGGGGAGCTGTTGGTGACTATAACAATCTTAAATACCCAAAACTTGGAGATATGCTAGATTATATTCTTATATAGCAGCCAGCATTACTAGAGGCCACAGAAATGAGGGAGGCAAAGCTTCTTTTCCCTTCAAAAACATATGTGGCTATGATCAAATTTCTGTTGAAATGCTTTGAGGCAGATGCAGAACAATACAGGACAGTAGAAAGAATTCTGGAGTATTGGCCTTCAGTGGAGAATATGTGTTTGCTACTGGAACATGCTATGGCATATAAAGGCTCTGTTGAGTCGCATTCAAATGCCTCCAAGGCACTAATCACAATTGGAACTTATTTTCAAGAGGTTATTTCAGGGATTTCTTTTGCTTTCTTGTTTAGTTTGTATCTCCTAGTTGTGTCTTCCTTTTTAATGAATCATTTTCATCTAGATGATAGCATCACGCTATGCCATGAAAATTTCATGGTTAAAGCAATTTTTGGGTCACATGGATTTCGATACCTGTGAAGCTAGTTGTGTCTTCCTTTTCAATTTTTGCACTTTCTACTGTAGTCAATTTGTGTAAGAAACTTCCTTCTGAATGTCCTGCACCTTTAATGGAGGCAGTTCCAATATTGTGTAAACTTCTTCAGTATGAGGATCGGTAGGTTTGTATCATGTTTTTGTGTGTGCGGGTTATCTTGTCACTGGAATATTTGATCTTATGATTTTTTTAACATTTTCTTGTTTTTCCATGTCATTCTCAGCTTGTTGAAAATGTAGCCACTTGCTTGATAAAGATAGCAGAAGGAGCACGCCACACGTCTGATATGTTGGACGAACTTTGTAAACATGGATTGGTTCATCAAGCTACACATCTGATAGACTTGAATTGTCGAACCATCTTGTGCCAACCAGTTTACACCGTATGCAGTCTCTTTATTTATGTTTTGTGTGATGGTTGTCCTCAATATCCTACCATGTCTATTTATTCAAACTTTTTCCATATTGGTTTATAGGGTTTGATTGGGCTACTTGTCACACTTGCTTCTGGTTCAATTGTAGCTGTCAGGACTCTTTTTGAGCTTAATATAAGCAGCATATTGAAGGATATCTTGTCTATTTATGATCTTTCTCATAAAATGCCTTCTCCTAATATGGTTGATGGACATTGCAATCAGGTACTCTTCTTGCTCCTATAGCAACACAATTTCATTAATCTGCAACTATTTCTTTTCTCATGTTGATAAATATCATTATTGGAAGGAAATAGATATAAACTATTATTTCTTTGAATCCTCAACATTCTACTTGAACATGTGAAACATACGATATTATTAAGTATCACAATAGTGCTTATGGACGTAAGGTGTAAATGGAACAATTGTTTCTATAATGGGATCAAACAAGTGTAATCATAGTTGGTTTAGTTTGCGGGCTTGAAGTCGGCAGGTTTGACAATGGCAAATACTTATGGAGGCATTATGCATTCTGTTTAAACTCAAACTGAACTCTATCTCTTTCCGAAAATATAACTTGGACCAGCAAATCCATTTTGACTTGCTATGAGTCCTGTTTACTCCAATTGAAGTCTTATGCATTCTGTTTAAACTCTGATTGAACTCTACCCCTTTCTGAAAATATAACTTGGACCAGCAAATCCATTTTGACTTGCTATGAGTCCTGTTTACTCCAATTGAAGTCTTATGCATTCTGTTTAAACTCTGATTGAACTCTACCCCTTTCTGAAAATATAACTTGGACCAGCAAATCCATTTTGACTTGCTATGAGTCCTGTTTACTCCAATTGAAGTCTTATGCATTCTGTTTAAACTCTGATTGAACTCTACCCCTTTCTGAAAATATAACTTGGACCAGCAAATCCATTTTGACTTGCTATGAGTCCTGTTTACTCCAATTGAAGTCTTATGCATTCTGTTTAAACTCTGATTGAACTCTACCCCTTTCTGAAAATATAACTTGGACCAGCAAATCCATTTTGACTTGCTATGAGTCCTGTTTACTCCAATTGAAGTCTTATGCATTCTGTTTAAACTCTGATTGAACTCTACCCCTTTCTGAAAATATAACTTGGACCAGCAAATCCATTTTGACTTGCTATGAGTCCTGTTTACTCCAATTGAAGTCTTATGCATTCTGTTTAAACTCTGATTGAACTCTACCCCTTTCTGAAAATATAACTTGGACCAGCAAATCCATTTTGACTTGCTATGAGTCCTGTTTACTCCAATTGAAGTCTTATGCATTCTGTTTAAACTCTGATTGAACTCTACCCCTTTCTGAAAATATAACTTGGACCAGCAAATCCATTTTGACTTGCTATGAGTCCTGTTTACTCCAATTGAAGTCTTATGCATTCTGTTTAAACTCTGATTGAACTCTACCCCTTTCTGAAAATATAACTTGGACCAGCATTTTCATTTTGACTTCTTAAAATTAAAAAAAAAAATAACTGTGGATAGGATTATGAAATATTGGATAAGTAATTGTGAATATTTGAGGAGTATTGGTATTCAATACAAATATAACTCCCTTCTAGAAGTATTCGTGTTTCATAGTTTTTAATTCTATATGCCCATCAGTTTTTCTGGGAACCTACTTTAGAATTTAAAAAATAAAATCTCAATTGCTCTTCAAGTCATAACCCTTTTTTGCTTGGGGTGCAACCTTTGATGGTGCAATTAATTTTCAAGAATATTTTCTTTTATAAGTAAATAAATAGAATCTAGCGACAACTTTTTTTCGTAACAAGGATAATATCATAGAAGCTATATTAAATGGACTCCTGTGTGGGTTATGTTACTAATTTGCATGTCCACACAAAGACACCGCAAAATGTTCATATTTTTGGTATTCCTCTTTTATTTTCTAAAGTGAAAACAGTTTTTATAATGTGACAAATAGAATTTCATGCTTAATAAGGGAGTTTTATACATAGTTATATGGTAAACCTGAGTTACTAGACATGCTTGCTCAATGAATGTCCAACTACACGTGTTAGTACTCATGTTAGTCGTATATAGCATACACTTCGGTTTGACACAGTACTCCCAGAAATACCCTTCTTGAGTATTTTTTTTACCCGAGATTTGTATGTTTGCATCAAAAGGCTAAAAAATAACGATACATTAGAAGCAAAGAAGCTTCATTATGACCTTTAAAGCTTTTTGTTTCATTATAAAGTTTGAGTTTACATAATTTTTTATACGTATGATACTAAAAGAAACAAAAAGATGCACAGGTTTTAAGTCCAGAATATACTATAAAGCTGGCTTTTGGCATATTTTGATCGTATAGCTGCTTCACTTATAACCAGCCTTTTCTGCCAAGACGAAAAAAAATAACAAAAAAACAAAAACCGTAACCAACCTTTGACATTGACATAAATTATGCATTTCGTCAGGATGTGCTTATTGCTGTGTATTTGGTGTCTTATTATTGCCCATGTAAGCCACACATTTGACTGCAAGTTGGGAATCTTTTTAACTATTGCAGTATTTCACTTTCACCTTCATCTACTTTGAGGTCACTATTGCAGTATTTCACTTTCATCTATATTCATGAATGAACTTTTGCTATCACCTCATTTTATGTCAAAAAATTCAATGTGATAGTTGTGCGTAGCTGACTCCAAACACTTGCATCAACTTTGGTTGAATTGTACATCAGGTTAAGTCTTTTTACATGAAATTCAGCAAGAATTGGCCTTTTCTGTAAACAACAATTGTCCAAAAGGTAAAACAAAGCAGAACATAATTCCATAACTTTCCTCTTCTAAATAGTTAAAACAATATGAAGTGAGACGAAAAAATTGAGAGAGCCGTAGAAGGGTAAATTGGAAGAAGATGGGACTCCAATCGGGTCTTCGGTTTGGGAGTTAGGGCCGAATTTCTGTCTAGCCAAAATTATTTACTAAACTATCTTTGTAATTATATAGTAGTTAATTTTTTATGTTTTTCTGTAATTAAAATATTAACACAATTATATTGTCATTAATTATTTTTATTTTGTTATTTTCAGATATTTCTGGAATAGCAGTTTGCTTCTTGTCGCAGGCGTGTAAAGATTATGACTAACTTTTGTTTTTGTAACCCACGGAAGAATCATGAAGAAAATTTTTATTTTTTATTTACGTTATTTAGATTTGTGAACAACATTATGTATGTATTATGCAACATTATGTAGTGGGATAATTTTGCTGATGTATTGCTGTGAATGAAAGAATATTTTAATTATGGATGAATTTTTATTTATATACTGGACTTTTTATATTATTATGTAATTATCGGTTTTTTTTTAGTTATTTTTTCATTTTTAATACAGGTCATTTTTCATATTTTTAATAATTTTATTACAGGTTCTTTTTTTTTTTTTTTTTTTTGAGACGGCAGCACACACACCGTCTCAAAAAGAAAAATAGAACCAGGGTTTTTTGCGACGGCAGCAATGCTGTCGCAAAAGACAAGGAAATTGGTTGAAAAGGAAGACTTTTAGCGACAGTATTATTTGCCGTCGCCAATAGTGCTTTAGCGACTGCATCAGGTGCTGTCTCAAATAACCTTTTAGCGACGGTATTTGTGCCGTCGCAAATAACTCTTTTAGCGACGGCAAGACAATGCCGTCTCAAAAAAATTCAGATTTTCACATGTTAATGTCGACAGCATTTTTCCGTCGCAAAAAGGCATTTTTGCCATCGCAAAAAAAAGGCGACGGCGTTATACCGTCGCTAAAACCCTTTTGCAACCCCCTTTGTTGCGACCCCCCACTTACCGTCGCAAAAGGCCAGTTACCGTCGCAAAAAACTTTTTGAGACGGCATTTTGAGTATTTGCGACGGCATTTTACCGTCGCAAAAAAGCAATTTTTTTGTAGTGATGTCATCAATGAATACTACAATAAAGCCATCAAGGTATGGTTTAAAGATTCTATCCATGAGGTCCATAAATGCAGCAGGTGCATTGGTAACTCCGAAAGGCATAACTAAAAATTCGTAATGTCCATACCTCGTTCGAAAAGCAGTTTTGTCAATGTCTTCTTGTTTAACTTTCAACTGATGGTAGCCTGATCTGAGGTCGATCTTAAAGAACACTTGAGCACCCTGTAACTGATCAAATAAGTCATCAATACGTGGCAATGGGTATTTATTTTTCACAGTTACCTTATTCAGTTCACGGTAGTCAATACACAGTCGCAGTGAGCCGTCTTTCTTCTTCACAAATAAAACAGGAGCGCCCCATAGCGAAGTGCTAGGCCTGATGAACTTCTTATCTAACAGTTCTTGCAGTTGCACTTTCAATTCTTTCAGTTCAATTGGAGCCATTCGGTAAGGAGCTTTAGATACTGGCTGCGTTCCCGGAATCACATCAACGGTAAATTCAATCTCCCTGTCAGTTAAGTCCCCTGGCAGATTATCTGGAAAAACATTTGGGAATTCTCTGGCTATAGGAATACTGTTCACGTTAGCATTATCATCAGTAGATACAGTCAATACAGAACACAGATATCCCTTACACCCATTTCTAATCAATTTAACAGCTTTCACAGATGAAATCAAGTACGGAGGAGGTACTACTCCAACCCCATTAAACACAAATTCAGGTAAACCTGGTGGGCGGAAAACTACTTGTTTTGGTACACAGTCTATGGTAGCATGGTATTTCGTTAACCAGTCCATTCCCAATATTACATCAAAATGATCAATGTTCAGGGGTAGTAAGTCAATAAACAAATGTGCATCTCCAACAATAATTTCACAAGCAGGGTACATATATGCACAGGTCATAGATCCCCCAATGGGTGATGATACAGCTAACAGATAATTTATGGGTTCTAATGGTCTATTCAATTTTCGCGAAAAAGCATGCGACACATATGAACGTGTAGACCTCGAATTAATCAGTACATAAGCATTTTGAGTACAAATAGAGAGAATACCTGACACAACAGTTTCGGTATTCTGCACGTCTCCCGGTACTAGGGCGAACACTCGGCCCTGCCTCATGGGCTCTTTCCCGGTAGCTTTGGGGTTCAGTTTTGGTGCGACAGTTGATGCTGCCACGCTTGGTGCAGCTTTACTACTGGCTTGTGGAGTAGAGGGGCAATCTTTAACCATGTGGCCCACCTTGCCACACCTGTAACAGGCTCTAGATATTTTGTAACAGACCCCTTTGTGCTTCTTGCCATACTCAGAACAAGGTGGTATGAAACCACTCCCTTGGCTGGGGCTAGTTGCTGACCCCGTATTCTGTTTCTTGTTCAATGGGTTATGCTTGCCTTTCTTGAATTTATAACCCTGCCTTTTACCACGTCATTCAGACGCTGGTGTTTCAGTTTTCAGTGCTTCGATGTTCGATTCAGCCATCAAGGCTCGGTCAAGAACATTTACGTAATTCGATAATTTC